TGTGTGTGTGTGTGTGTGTGTGTGTGTGTGTGTGTGTGTGTGTGTGTTCATTCTAGGGCTGTCTTATTTCCTATTTATTCTGATCAAATGTATAAGACAACCTTTGGTGTATAATCCTGGAGGCATACCTCAGGTTGCCCTGATGTTCCTTTTAATGAAGCACCTTCTCAAACAAAAACGAAAAAACTCTATCTTCATCCAAGTTCACTGAGGGCCAACCCCTTTTTTCTCATTCCACAATTTTATAGAGGCCGGTTGAGTTGCAGAGTTAGCAGATTCGTGAACCAAACCCCATTGTGAATGCTTGTTCAGTGCTGGACCTGCCCAGGTCACAGTCGTTCCAAGTCTGAAAGAGAATCACGATGATGGTCCCGGGGACTGCTCAGAGAGTTAAAAGGCATGGCAGGAGGCACACAGAGGCAAGGAGCTGCATGAATTGTTTGTATTCCAAATTCCTTCAGTTGAGCCCCGCATTCTCCCCAGAGTTCTGTGACTTTCTTCAAGCACTTAGCTACCCTGAGCCTCAGGGTGACCCTCTGTGAAGTCTGAATACTTGACATAATGGAACGAAGTGCCAGCATGCTGTACAGACAGCAAAAAACAACTTTGTTTTCTAAGTTCCCACTATCTAGTCATTTACCTGTGTGCCCCACAGCAACCCTCACTAGGGTGGATTGCTTCTGTTTCTTGGCTGGCTGTTGATGTCAGAGATGAGTCCAGCAGAGATCTGGTCATGGGTCAGGCAGGGTTAGATCTGTATTGGAAAGCTAATGTGGCTAGGCTCCCAGTTGTCGGAAACAACAGCTCAGTAGAATCCATGGCCTTCAAACAGGAAACTCACCGAAGTCTGCTTTGCATGATTGCTTTCCAGATCCTTTGGATCACCTGCGGAGGCAAATTTGACCCAGATAGCATCCTTCAGAACTGAGTGTGTTGCTGTACTGCTCATTAATGCTTACTATGGCTCAACCTTTGAACCCCAAAGTTGTTGGGCAAACTCCCCACCATGCCCCCGAGGGCCACTTGCTACTACCGAGGTCCACATGTGATTTCCCGAAAGCAGAAAATGCTTTCAAGTCATCTGTGGTTACAGCAGCAGATTCTTTGGCATCTGAGATAACTGGGAATTCCTCTGCTCGGATGCCACTGCAAAGCCTCTCTCCTGGACTCCGTCTGAATGCCAGCAAGCTCTGCTTCAAAGATGGCAAAAAAAGAAAGATATTAAAGGCCACTGCAAAAGGGAGCAGAGGGATCAAGAAGGAATGGCGTGGCCAGCCCTAAGTTGGTAGCAGTCTTCTCAGGTTATCACCGTAGCCCGCTGCTGTATCTCCCATAACAAAAACCCATCAGGCACATGGGAGGCAGCAGGCCAGGTGCTGGTGCAAATGTTGCCAAGGTTTCCATTGTCAAGGCCAAGAAACTCCCCAGCTAGCTAAAATGAGAGCACTAAAGCACAGTGCTGACCGAGGTTTTTGTCTTGCCCAGTCCTGCAGCCATTAAGTCCCAAAGAATCACACAGAGGTCTACATAAGTTATAAACTGATTGGCCTATTAGCCCAGGCTTCTTATTAACTCTTATAACTTATGTTAGCCCATAATTTTTGTCTATGTTAGCTATGTGGCTTGGTATCTTTTTCAGCGAGGCACTCACATCTTACTTCCTCTGTGACTGAATCACAACTGCAGACTGAAACTTCCCTCTTCCCACAATTCTCACTGCCACTCCTCTACTTCCTGCCTGGCTACTTGCCAATTAGCATCTTATTAAAAATAATACAAGTGACAGGATAAGTGACCATTGTCCCATAGCAGCATAGACCTGCAGTTTGACTTTGCAGACTGGTAGGATTGTTGACCCCGCACTGCTCAAGTAGAACCCTTTTGCTCAGCTGCTAGGAACTAGCTAGGTTCCAAGATCACTTAACCCATCTATAGCTGATGTCTGGTGCCCATAATCAGAATAAATACATAAATAAGCATGCCCACCACCAACCCACAGAGAACCAAGAGATGATTTGGTGCAATCTGACCCTACAGCAGGTATACATGGGAAGTTTCCCCCTCAAACTATTAGTGGTGTGTGCCAGGCGAGAGTGCTCTGTGCCTGAAACTGAGCAGGGGAAAAGGAGGAACACTTACCACCAAGAGGGTGTGAGAAATCTAGCTTTAGTGGTGTGTGCCAGGCGAGAGTGCTCTGTGCCTGAAACTGAGCAGGGGAAAAGGAGGAACACTTACCACCAAGAGGGTGTGAGAAGTCTAGCTTTATCTGGTGTGGCACCAGGGAAGGAGAACTTGCTAGAAAAGAGAGGGGACTAGCTGGAGTGGTAACAGGAGAGAAATGGGGGAAAGGAGAGGATTTGAGGCATCATCAAGTCAACATAGATGATAAACGTCATTGAACATGTCTTTATAAAGCTCATAACTAAGTATAATGAATATATGCCAATAAAAAATTTAAAGAATAGCTAATAACATTAACAAAAACACTAAATAAGAAAAGTTGCCAATGATTGAATATGTATCGCATGTGAAGGACATAGGAGATAACTTCTGTAGAGTATTGCCATCATTCAGCTGCCAGGCCCAGTTAATTTTTACATTTATTGATTTATATATTTGGTGTGTATGTGTGTGCATGTGTGTGTGCATGTGTGTGTGCAAATATGTATATATTGCATGAGCACACATGCCACCATGTGTATGTAATGTCAGAAGACAACCACGAGGGGTGTGGGGATCAAAGTCAGAACACAAGCCTTGGGAGCACATGTCCTTACACCCACCCTGCTGATCCAGCTTCATTAAGGAAGTCAAAATCTCAGCATTTGATGTCAGAAAATACCCACAATGGGATCTATTAAAATCCTTGTTTTCTTTAAGCCATCCCTTAACTGCTTTAGTCTTGCTCCTATGTTGTAGGCTTGTGACCCTCCGACATTTGTCTGTCTGGTTCCCTGCGTGGATTCCTGAAGTCTGACCAGGTGTTGGGATGGCACTCTGTGAGGTTTTGAGGGATCCTGTGTAGAGAACAGAGTCAAGCCAGAAAAATCCTGGGGAGAGGGGATGATGAGGCAATTGTAAAGGTGGGTGACCAGTGAGAGTAAGCACCAGCAAGGCTCATAAATGGCAATCTTCTGCAGGTCTGACGCTCTTGGAAGGCACTCAAGACACCTTTATCAGCTTCCAGCAGGTGTACCTCTGGAAAGGTGAGCTTCAAAGTGGAGAATCAGGGGTGACAGGACAGTGGCTTCCTGAGTGTGGTCCCAGTTTGAATCCACAAGGTATTCTGCTCCCAGTGAAAGTAAAATGAAGACTTATGTTCTATGGGCATGCTTCATGCGGAGCAGAAGGGCTCCCATTCCTCATCAGAGGAGATACATAGGCTAAAAGAATGTCATGTGGAAAGCCTCCAAAAGATGGAGAAGGCGGGAAATACTTTGTTCTTGGGAGATAGAGTTCACTGCTACAGGCTGCTTTTATCACCAGAGTGGGCTGTGGCCCCATGAGCCTCTTCTTCCTGAGGCTCAGGGTGATCGAATGTGACCTAGGTGATCGTTGCTATGGGGTTTAATTAAACTTTTTAAATCCTGCCTTGCTGTAGCCAGCGCAGCCTGGATAGCCAAGACTGGTTGGGGGTGCCGGGATTGAGACACGGAAGCTTCTTTTCAGGTGGAAGAACAGCAACCTTTATTTTGCCCAGCAACCTTTTATACCTCTACTCCTTCTGTGGAGATCCACCTGCCAGAAAGAACACAAACATCCTTGTCAATTACAGACCACAAGGAAGTTCCGTTGTCAGTCAGGGGGAGTGAGGGCTGCTGAATCACAACACTGCCTTGCCTGCTGACCCTCTAAGAGTCTTGGAACGAGTTCTTCTCCCTCACTGAGTCTCATTTCTCGGAGGTTGCATGTGAACCTTCTTCATCCCCTTCAAGGGTGTTGTGAACATATATGAGCATCTTTAAAGGGTAAATGTTAATAGTGATGGTGTCACCGACAGTCTGGTTCTAGCCCTGAGAGATTGGCCAGTGTTAGGTGCAGGACCAAGCCTGCTCACCTGGGTGGCTGGATCTGTGCCTGCCTCGTGCTGAGTTCCTGGTTGTGGGATGTAAGGATTGCTATGTGGCTGCCTCATCATTACCAGTGATCCTACTTTTTTTCTTCCTAGAGTCTGACATGGGGTCTCGTCCTGCATCCATGGCATGTGGAAAGGATGTGGCGCCTAGGTTAGACCCTCCAGCAGAAGCAGGTATTGACTCTAAAGAGTTCATACAGTTGGGTTGTGCAGACAAGATAATGGCATTCAAAATCTAATCAATGGATGGGCCTCTTTTTTTACTCCATTCTGAAACCTTGGAGCAGTGGTTCTCAATCTTCCTAATGCTGCACCCCTTTAATAAAATTCCTCATGTTGTGGTGACCCCCCCAACCATAAAATTATTTTTGTTGCTACTTCATAAATGTAATTTTACTACTGTTATGAATTGTAATGTAAATATCTGATATGTGACCCCAAGGGGGTTGTGACCCACAGGTTGAGAACCGCTGAGAGCCTTACAAAGCACCAAATTATGCTCCTAATCTAATTATTCCCTCACAAATACAGAGACTCCTGAAGTGTGCGGTGAGAACAGAATGTAAGGATTCTCAATGCTGCAGAAGCAGAAACAAATGCAAAAGCTATAGCAGGAGCAACTGCCTGCTAAAAGAGCAGGATTTAACAGAGCATGCTCAGGACCCCAGCATCTCAACCCTGTAGGCCTAGAAAAAAAATGTTACTATGTGTCAGAAAATGTCAACCCAGTCGAAAAGAAAAGAATGGTCCGTATGGGGTCATGGCAGGCAGGGGACGAGTTCATCCAGATAGGGATTGCGGTTGTGCCTGGGGAAGTGTGAGAACAGCTTGCCCCCAGAACCTATAGTTTTACTATATGGTGGCACTAAGGGCCAGGAAGAATGGAGGAAGAGAGAAATAGAGAGAGATGGAGGGGAAGTCTGAGAGCAGAAGGAGGGTGTCTTAGCCTACTCAGTGCTGTGGTAACAACATTCCAGACTAGGTACTATGTAATGAATGCTCAGAAGGCTGGCAAACACAGCATTGGAAAGCTACCTCTGGTGAGTGCCTTCCACTGGGCAGTACCATGGTAGAAGGTGTCAAAAGGTTCAGGAGAGTGAGGGGGAAGCCAGCTTGCTATTCTAGCCCACCCTTGCAGGATGATTGGTCTACTGCGCACTGGTCAGGGACTGAGTCCCACGGGACGCAACAAGCTGTAGTGTGGCTGGCTGAAAGTTTCAGACCAAAGAATCTGGGGACATGGCAGCTGTGATTGGCTCAGCTATGTCACATGAAACTACCCAGGCATGAACGGGAGTCCCGAGGAAAGCCCTGTGTTGGGTAGTAAGGTAGACCAGGGGGCTCCTAAGGTTTCTTCCAAGCCAGAATTCTGGGTTTCACAAGTGTGCTATTTTTCTGATTTCCTAGGACTTTCTGAACTCCTTTTGTCTGTCCAGATCCACACCCTGTCACTTCTAGCCCTGCTCTGGTCCCAGGTCATCTAAGAATGTTTTGTATCTCCTGATCTGTCCCCTAAGCCTGCTTCTTTCTGCCTCATGCATGCTGAAGAGATAAAGGTAAAGGAAGCTGACCCTCTCCTTCTCTTTCAGCGGTGACAACAGAACTTTTCCTCCCTGTGGACACTGCCCAGGTCATTGTCAGGGCAAATCACTCATTGCCCAGCCAGCAGTACTGGCTCTTCACACACCTGTTTTCAGCAGAGCAGGCGAACTTGTGGTGCCTTTCTCGTGAGTATCCTTAGACTGAAACCTTCTTCCAGACCCTGGTTCGACAACCCCTGAGATGTAGGCAAGTTCAAATTCACCGGCATAATTCAGAGGTCACTACTTTCTTAGCATAGAGATGGGAATTGTTCCCAGCCTTTAAGATGCTCACACTGAAGGCAGTGTCTGCTCAGCAACCAGAACCTATCATCCATCCATCCATCCATCCGTCCGTCTGTCCGTTTGTCCATCTGTCCATCCATCTATCCATCCATTCATCCATCTGTTCATCCAATGTTGAACATTCATTATGTTCTAGGACTTCCATTTGACTTTGTGGATGAAACCCAAGCAGAATGAGTCATGACCCTTTACTTAAAATAGTTCATACGTATCTTTGGCAAGACTGACATATGCAAGAAAACAGAGTATTCACATACAAAGACCTAGGTCTCTGCTCTGCTCACTCTTAGTGCTTCCAGGAGATCATGGGTAAAGCCACTGAGTTTTCATCCTGTTGACTCCCGTATTGCTGACTTTGTTTCTGACCTCTTATTTAACTTGATCACCTGTACTCAAGCTACAAGATCACTTATTTCCCCATTTCATAGATTCCCCAGTGTTTTTGTTAGGACTTCATGACTATCATGGGTGTACTAGTACTTTGCCAGCTTAAGGCAAAGCTAAGCTTAGCCAACAAGTTAGGGTCGGCTAAGAAAAGGAAGCCTCAATTAAGAAAATGCCTCCATCAGATTGTCTGGAAAGTTAGTCTATGGGACATTTTCTTGATTAGTGATAGATGTGGGAAAACCCAGCCCATTGTGGATGGTGAAATCCTTGGGAAGGTGGTTCCACATTGTATAAGGAAACAGGCTGATCAAGGCATGGAGAGTAAACCAGTAAGCAGCACCCCTCCATGGTCCTGCATCAGCTTGCCTTGAGTTCCCTTCATGGTAGACAGTAAGCTATAAAGGTGAAATAAATCATTTCCTCCTCAGGTCGCTTGTGGTTGTGGTGTTTATCACAGCAATAGAAAGTAAACCAGTGCACTCTGCTCTGAAATACTCCCAAGATGAGTCTGCCCACTTAAGGCCTTGCATGGACTAAACACCAACTGCCTTCTTGCCTTTAGGGTGTGCCCAGGAGCCTGCTTTCTGTCAACTTACAGACGTAATGGAGACCACACCTTTGTATTTCACATGCTATCTCTACCCAGAAGCCCAGGTCTGTGACAACATCTTGGAATCTAATGCCAAGAATTGTAGCCAGATTCTGCCCCGCCAACCAAAGGCCCTCTTCCGGAAGAAAGGTAAGCACGGTGGTTTTGAGCTGGGTGTCTGATAGACCACCACTCTGCAGGTTAAGAAATAGGGAGATTAATTTCTTTTCTCTTTAAGAGTATTACTCTTCACACACACACATACACACATACACCCGTGCACATACACACACACACGTGCACACACACACACACACACACACACATACATAAACACACACACACACACACAAACCATTAAAGAAAAAAGAGGCCATGAATTTTTTTAAAATAGAGCAAGAAGGGATGCATGGATAGGACTATAAGGAGGAAAAGGAAGGGAGAAATAATGTAATTATAATCTCAAAAACCAATATATGTGTATATAAATACGTAAGATTATCCAACGTCCTTCAGAGATATAAAGCCATTGAGAAAGGCATCAGGCTGACACCTCAGAGAGTTCTGCTCTGTGGTCTGACCTCAGGCGGAGCCACTACTGATAGACTTGCACCAGGATTTCATGCAGCAGTGTGATACAGAGATCTCAGAGAAAGTGACTTTTCTAATGCCACAGTTGTTCTCTCTTCAAGGACACTGATAGTGTCATTTTGTCATCATGATGGTGATGTCATTTTCACCCTATTCCCCTAGAATTTCTTTTTCCATTTTCTTTGTCAAGGCCCTTTGCATATCTGGGGGTCCTTGGTTTCCCCTCAAACATCAGAGGCCACAAGGCTTGAAGCAGCTCTATTTGGTGGGAACTTCTTGGCTGTTGGCTTCTCCTTAGTATAATCTGATCCTGTCATTCTTGGTAGGATCCTTTTGTTAGTACTCCTAGGTCCTTTGTCAGAGGAATCTCACAGTACTTGGCCTGAATGTACGCATTAGCAAGGTGGGAGAGTCTCGTGTCTCCGTGAAGCTGAAATCATACTCTGTGGGGTTTGTGTATCTACTATCGGAGGACACCAAAGAACCCTCTCTTCTGATTCTCCTAGAAATAAATTTTCTGTTTTTGCCCTTGTGGAAAGGGCAGTTAGACTATCAGTTCCCCTGGAGATGCAGGGGTCTGGAGGCACACATGCTCCCTTCTTGCTACTTGACTCAGGGGAGCAGAGCCTGCCTTCCTAGTCTCTGGAGCCAAGGTTCTCCACAGGCTTCTTAGACCCTGAGATTGTTTCATCTCTCTAATTCTCAATTCCCCATGGGCTAATGCCTTTATTGGAGCTCTTTGCAAGAAGCCCTGGGTTCCATTCCAAGTGCCTACTAGTGATTCATACTTGTAATCTGGGACTTGAGAGATGGAGGCAGGAGGATCAGAAGTTCAAAGACATCCTTGACTACATATTGAATTCAAGGTTAGCTCAGGTACACAAGACTCCATCTCAAAAACCAACCACACAAACAGAATCTTATGAGTCTTATTCTCGTGAGATTTGGGAGAAAATTTATTAGTTTCATGTGCCGTCTTCCTGGAAGTTCAGTCTAGGTTTTATTCATTGTCTCCATATTTGCGAAAGTATAATGTATTTTATTTCTTTTCCCTCTGTGAAGTTGTGCTGAACGATCGAGTGAAGAACTTTTATTCTCGCCTGCCATTCCAAAAGCTCACAGGGATTTCCATCAGAGACAAAATCCCTATGTCTGGAAAATCCATTTCCAATGGGTAAGCGGCCAAGTTCTACCTCAACGCTTATTATTCAGATTCCTTGGCTTCCATGAGTAGGTGGCATCTCAGCTCTTAAAGGCAGAAGCAAACAATGATCCAACCAAAAGCTAAGGGTACAGGAGATGACCACATTAGAAGTCCTTGATGGAGAGAGATGACATATTAAACACCACATTCGGCTCTGAGCCTGCAGTCTGCTGCGGGAGATCAGATGCACTAAGCAGTATTGTCAGTTAATAAAAGTGATCAAGATGGTAATAAACTTGTTCTTCAGAGCCTTCCAGGGCGGTGTTCAGAATCTGGAAAGCAAGCTGAATCTTTAACATGAACTTAGCTTAGAAGAATGCCTTACTTATGACCACTACAACCTATGCTGGTGTTCCTTCGTTGGCTTTTTTTTGTTGGCCATTATAACTAAAGATAAATTTCCTCTCACCACCCAACAAGGGACCCCATTCTTCAGAATCTCCAAGTGTGCCATTGCCTAACTACATTTCTGGACCTTCCTGGAACCTCTTCAGTTTGAGGTCCTGGGATGGGATTCAAGAATCAGAATTTTAAGGAAAATCTCCAGTGAGTCTTTTGTATTTCAGTAGTCACTGATCCATGAACTGCTAATCTGTGAAGTGCTGTTACAGAATTAGGGAATTGCATCATGTTGCTGACATTTAAAAGTAATTTCTGAGAATGGAGCTCAAAAGATGACACTGGATGCTTTGCCTTAAGATATAACTGAACATCAACATACTAGGAGAGGGGACAGAAGCTAGATGTCACCATATGGGGATAGGAGATTGAAATCAGATACCTCTTTATTGGACATCACTATGCTGAGCCTGGAACTGGGACAAGAACTGGTGTGACAGAGCTTGAGGTCATAGTACAGGCTTTCAACAAGAAAAGGAAGCAAATGTAGGCAGGTCAATAGCTTGGCAGGAATCTAGAGCAAAGAAAGCCAGAGAGATGCCTTACCAGCTTCTGAGTGGAGAGGTAGCCTGCGCTGGAGAAGCTGTCTTGCAGATACAAGTTTCAACACTGGGATAAGACTTGGATTTTGGAAAGACCAGCAAGAATGAGGCAGGATTTTCACACCAGAAATGGACAAGTAGTTAACCAAGCTCTCAGGAGTTAGGAGCGAGAGATCAGATCAAGACATGAGATCAAGGCAAGGAATCTTAGAACTGGGCTCCAGATCACTGAAGTGCTAGAGCCCCTTTGCCGTGAAGCTGCAGGTGGGGTCCTGCTGCTACGCTGGGTGAGTAAAGGAGAATGGTCCTGGAGAGGGCTTGAACATGTGAGTAAACACATGGAGGATCTGAAGAAAAGAGTGGGGCTTTGTTTACAGAAATCTAGAAAGCCAGTGTTGGCCAAAGCACCCACACTTTATGTGCTTACAGAGAAATCTGATCCCCAAGGTTCGAACTGTTCCATTCATTCTACACAGTATGTCATGGGTGCCCATGGGAGGCTTCACACTTGTCTTCTCTTCTGACTCTAGGTTCTTCGAGTGTGAGCGGCTCTGTGACAGGGACGCATGCTGCATTGGCTTTGGTTTTCTAAACGTCTCTCAGTTGCAAGGTGAGGGTGATAAAGGAGGCAGCCCCCACCCCCTGGCATATCACATCAGTCTAGAAACAGACTTATAATCCTACATGGTCCCCACTATCTCCTCAAGACAAAGAGGATGGGTGAACCTCATTACAGTAAAGAAGTAGGGCTGGGAGAAGCAGGCAGCTCATCAGTGTGGTGGCCCTGGTTCCTAATCTATCCCTTCATATACACACATGTCTATCTGATCCCAGCAAATGTCCCTCCTTGTTTCCATACTTCACTTGTATGTCTTATGTGCTGTTTTCAGAGTTCTGTCCAGGGAGCATGGTTGACTGAACTTTAGATACCTCACATGATCTGTATTGAACACTCACTCAGCCACTTACTGATGCTATGGTTCTGGAAAGTTCTCTTCTAATCTCTCCAGGCCTTAGCATCCCTTTCTGTAAATAGTAACACACATTGTTTTGTTGTAATGAGGTTGCTTGGTCATTCCGGCTGCTGGGCAGCTCAGACCCAAAATAATCACACAGAAACCATATTATTTAAATCACTGCTTGGCCCATTAGTTCTAGCTTCTTAATGGCTAACTCTAACATATTAATTTAACCCATCTCCATTAATCTGTGCATCACCACAAGGTCATGGCCTACCAGCAAAGTTTTAGCACATCTGTCTCTGGCAGAAGCTCCATGGCTTCTCCTTAACTACACCTTCCTTCTCCCAGCATTCAGTTTAGTTGTCCCCTCTAACTAAGTTCTGCCCTGATCTGCTATAAGCTCAAGACAGTTGCTTTATTAACCAATGGTATTCACAGCATACAGAGGGGAATCCCACACCATTGTTTCCCTCCCAAGACCTAGTGAGATGATTCCCGCAGATCTGGTTCACCTCTTATGCATGATTGTCAGATATTCTGTTAGGAGTAGCTACCTTCATTCCTGGACTCAGGGGCTATGACTCTTAGATAGAGGAGCTAAATTTGTAGGGATGGCCAAGTCCACACTTGGAATACAGAACAAAAGCTCAAGCAGCATATGCTGAGAGATGGCTTGCAGAATCCCTCCTGCTCCGTTCATCTTTCTCCCTGGCTCACTTTCCTAAACTCCCGGCTTCTCCACCAGGAGGAGAAGTGACCTGTCTAACTCTGAACAGCATGGGGATTCAAACATGCAGCGAGGAAAATGGAGGAACCTGGCGCATTTTGGACTGTGGCTCTGAGGACACTGAAGTCTACACCTATCCCTTTGGGTGGTACCAGAAGCCTGGTGAGTAACCTGCTCCTGGCAGTTGTGACTGTGTCCCAATCCTGCATTAGGATGACATCTTAGGTTCAGGAAGATTAGTCAGAATTCACTGGGTGCCAATAACAGAAACTGATTCTATTTACTTTAAGAAGAAAAGAAATGCCTTGGGGACTGTTTATTGACCTAAAGGAAAGGTGATCAGTTAGGTCTCAGGACAGATGGAACCAGACCAGGTTCCAAAGGTGTTGTTAGCCAGTGTCTATAGCCAAGTTCTTCAGTGTGCCACTCCTGACTGATTGCTTTTAGGGGGGTTGCTCGTTGTTTCCTATAGAAGCTTTGCAGTCAGGTTCTATCTACCCAGCATGTTTGATGAATATGCCCACTGCTGAAGAAACAGCTTGAGTGACAGCCTCATCAAATCCAGAGCTACTGGAAAGAAAGGAGGCTAAGGTCCTGTTACTGGACAGGCAGCAAAGTCAACAGTCATCTCCTCTACCTCCTTCCCTCTGTTCCTTCACTGTGTCGACTGTTATCCTGAGTCAGGATGACATAATGCATGGCAAGGTCAGGGAAGAAAGGGTATAGCCTGTGTATGCTTTTATGCACTTGAGTTAAGATTTCAGGAAAGGCCAGCCCGAGCCCTCTGTGGTTCATGAAGGCAAGCATCTAAGAATCATTTCCAGGTATATTTTAGAACAATCTGAAATCAACGAAAGAAAGAGTGAATGCTTTTGTGTGTGCTTAGACATAACTAGACTCCTATGAAACGTAGCATCCTCCCTCCATCAAGACAGGCTGATCTTCGAGGACTCGTATCACTCCTTAGGTTCTGTCAGGAGGACAAGGTTGGCTGAGGCTCTGGGTGTGGGAGGCTACATGGAAACTAGAAGAGACTATCCTTCTGCTTATGTCCCAGGAGCCAACTCCTGAAGATATCTCAGAGATAAAAAGATTGTCTCAGGAAGTAACAGAGAGCCTGCGAAGGGGATCAGTGTCACCAGCCTGTTCCATGGGTAGCTCACTTCCAGTTGTGAGCGAATCTGAACAGTGAGGGCCATTGTTGACACTTCCCTAGAAACTAGAGTTATGCAATGACTGGTGTGACAGGAGGCTTAGAGACATGGAACTTTGCTCTCCACATTCTTCCCACCATAACCCACCATTTTTCTACCTAGTTTGGGAAATGAGGGAAAACTGACATTTTTCCTGCACCTGCTGTATGTCAGACACATGCTAGGTCTGTGTGAGCCCTGATATTTCCCCTCATGGGAATTTAGTAGAGTGGACATCACTTCCTCAATTTTCTTATGCAATAAATGAGGCCGACAGTGGAAGATGCTGGCCCAGTTACGTGGCTATTGAGAACCAACCAAGTTGAAATCTCAGGTCTGATTGACCCCAGCTTCCCTATTCTGTTTTCAATAACTCCTGGCAGACTACCTAGTGAGTGGGTTATTAAAATCTCCAGACACCTTTCTTGGCTGGGTTTCTACAATTCTAGTAACTTAGAGTTGACTGACCCATCATCTGAAACAGGCTAACACGATAGCAGATCAGCTGCTCCCGAAGTGACCTTTCTAGTGTAAGCCATGTTGGAGTTAAAGGGCACATAGTTTGGTTTCCAGAACAAAGATGCCTTTGGTGTTACTTATGCACCTATATGTCCTTCAGCTTCATGGCAACTAGTATGGACATAATTATTTCCAGGTTGGAAGGCATCTTCCTGTTTGTGGCTGTCTTCTGCACCCTGGGTCTTGATTTGAGGTTGCTCTGTTGGATTTTTCTTTCAACAGCTTGAATTGTTTTTAGGAAAAATGGGAGTTGTATAATGAAATTGCCTCTGTGGGTTTATATGCCAAGGGATTTTTTTTCCAGAGACGTCTCTAGGCTTGACCTTGAGGGCCAGGGAAGAGAAGGGCATGCTTGTCTAATACATGAGTTCTGAAGGACCCCCATGGACAGCTGCAAGTCTTGCGCTGCTACAGAGGCATGCTCACCTCAGGACCTCCCTTTCTGCCTGTCCTCTCACCTTTTCACCCCGCCAGCATCTGGAAAATGCCACTTTCCATTTTCATCTGACTGTGGAAGAGTTGGGCAGAAGGGAGCTTAAGCGGTAATTCATTTGTTCAGAATGTGATGGAAGTCAGTCCAAGCTGTTTCAACATCTTGACAGGGGCTGGCAAGGACAAGAACCTAAGGTACTCCTGGTTCCAACAGGTCCCAGATGCTCTGTTCCTTTTCATCTGGCTGCCTGGGGTGTTAGTGTCTTCCAGCACACACTCTGTGGCTCTGGGTAGGGACTCGGGAGTCCTAACCAGAAGCCACATGGCAGAGAATGAAAATTTATATCAGGGCTGTCACTCAACTGAAAATACTGCTGTCAGGAGTGCCCAGCAGCCTCTAGTGTGACAGTCTGGCCTTTGTTCATTAGGATCTAATGCTGGAGGCCAGCACTATCTCATTGTATCCTCATTCCCCTCAGAGGAGAAGCAAGAGGTACAGGGAGACCCAAGGGTACACAGGTGGTAGCTGACAGGCCTGAGACCCAATTTCCTTTACCTCTAAGTTTCTGTGTCACGTGGCAGAGTGTATATGGTCCCGGTTTCCTGGCCTCCAGGAGCTCCCAGTCTTAAAGGGAGCTACAGTTGCCGAGGAGGCAAAGCCCTGTTGCTGGGATTCCCATCCTAGGGCTGGAGCCTTCAGAACTTGACTGGGTATTTGTTCAGGTGTGCTGCACTGGTCATTGAGGAACGGGAGAAGAACAGAACGTTGCCGTTTTTCATAGGCACAGCCTAGAGAGGCCAGCGTGAACATGTGCGAGCAATTGAAGCACAACAGGAACAGCTTAGAGGAAGTCTGATTGTACAAAATATTGGCAAATGAGACATGGATTCTCCTGGGAGCCACAGATGTCTGTTGTAGAAATTAAATGGGTTCTCCTTCTGGCTTCAAGGGTCACCTCCCCATGTCCCCTGGACCCATTGGCACAGAGATATCCACACAGGCAAGCTAAGCTAAACAGTTGCTCCCATTGTTTGGATGCAGCTGAGAAGAAAGTGCTTGCTGTGCTGCCTGAGGTCAATATTCAAGCTATCCATGGCCTGTTTCATGCTGCTAGATTGCTGCTGCAGGCAGATCTAGGGAGCAGTATGCATAAGTGGCCGCTGGGAGCTTTGTCTCCATCCCCTGTCCTCAGTTTGGATATTTCTGTTGTCTCTATCTTTCCACAAGAAGCTCACACATCCAAATGGAACGTTCTGTGGATTTCTAGAACAGACTGCCCAGATAATATGGAGCACACATTTGAATAAACAAACACCCTCAACATACGCCAGGATGTTCCTTAACGACTGTACTCTCAGAGTCCCTATTCTGAGCGTCTTCTGGGAAGGGAAGGCATTTGGTGGACCAGGAACAACAAAGAGGGGTTACTGACTGGAATCTGGCTGATGACTAGATACAGAGGAGTGTAGAGGGAAGTTGTTAGCAATTGCAGCCATTCTGTATGGTGCTTTCAGTATGTGGGAGCAGAGGCTCGGCTCAGAGGTTGGCATCTGGGAACCTATTGGAAATGTCAAGTCTCAGGCCCACAGTCGGGCCTTAGAGTTGGGCCCTTGGGAAGTGGGGCTCAGCACAGTGTTACCTCTTGTTATCTAGTCTTGAGGTGGTTTTAATGTCAGTTAAAGTTTGGCAATTGATATCTGGAAATGATGGCAAGAAGTGGCTCCAGGCAGTTAGAACCAAGGAAGAGAACAGGCTTAGGACTGAAGGTTCTGGAGCCTTGAGATGCTGAGGATCTTAGTTCGGTTTATATGGTTATCACAGAACACCACAGACAGGGAAATATACAAGGAAATGCCTCTCGCAGTTCTGGAAGACCAATCAATACCAAAGTGTTGGCATCTGGAGATGGTCTTCTAACATTTTAACAGGGTAGAAGCAATGTAAGGTGAGAAAAAAGGTGGGAACAGGAGGGCACACTGGAGACAGCATCTTTGACAACAGGACTGCTCCTAGGATCATATCGAGCTTAATAAACATCTCCCCAGACCCCACCCCCACCAAGGCATTTGTCTGTTTGTGAAGGTGGGAGCCCACAGACCTAACCAACACTCAAAACCCCACCTATTGGTTGTTGTAGAGGCAAATCAACTTCCACAAGAGTTTTGGAAGGAACATTTGAGTCACAGCATGGTATTTTGCACACCCAACAAAAGGGAAGAAGATGGGAGATGGAAATATCGGGGGAGCCATCCAGGACTTCTGGAACCAGCATAGACATAGACTCTGACCCAAGGCACAAGAGACAATGACATGAGTGTGTCATTATGAGGGGGAAACATTCTGAATGGACCATGCCCAAGTTTGTTGACTACGTACTGAATTTCCCTGGCTGTAATTTTAACCCCTATAAACCTCACAGCCCTGAGATAGGACGCTGTTGACTTCTGAGCACAGAACCTATAAGGGAATTCTCAAGATCCTACAATTGTAGTGAAAGTCACAGTAATCTCGCTCTGGAACCTCTGGCCCTGGAGACACTGCTCTCAATAGTTAATCATGGATTCCTATAGCTCCTAGTGAGGGAGAGGAGTTCTGGGCTTCATTCTGTTTATGTTGTTAGAAGGAGGAAGAATGAGGAGGCTTTGAAGATTTGGGTTTGTTCAGTGAAGGGAGAGGAAGGGAGGGTAATCAGCACTTCTGTGTCACCTAGAGGGTATGTGTTTCTCACTGGCTTCTTATGTCAGTTTCACTATACAAATGTCAAGGCCGGGCAACAAAAGTAGATGACCCGTCCCTTTGCCCTGCTTCTCTGTGATATGCTATGTTCAAACCCAGGCCTGTCTTTTCCCAGCATTCAGGTATCCTATCCATGTAACTTGCTATTTATCACTGTTGTTTACTGAACTTTTGTACCTTGTTCTGTGGCGAATATTACACATTAGGTCACCTCTGTAGTCCCACAGTCCCCTTAGTAGTACTTACTTACTGGTAGTGTGACCTCCGAAGCACAGATGTAGAAGCTGAGGCATGGGGTGCTTTGCCCACATTGTCAGATTCAGGGAAATAGTGGCAGGCATTTGCGGTGTGGTCAATGACAATAACATGTCATTGGACAATGCTACTCCTAGATGGAAGCTGTAAGGCAGGATTGAAGTGCACTACAGCCTATTTACCTTGTGTGGTGGAAACTGTAGCATGGACTCGGGTGGAGCCTTCCTGAGCCAGGGTCACGGGAGAGGAAGTCAATGCAGAGCCGCCTCCCCCAACTCCTTCTGCCCTGCATAGACCTCCGGTTTCCATCACCATCCTGGACCATTGCTGTTGTCTCCATGGCTCTAACACTGCCTCTGCTTCTTTCTAGCTGGGCAGAGTGGCACTCCCAGCTTCTGCCCGTCTGCTGCCCTGCCATCCCTCACCGAGGAGAACGGTAAGTTTATTGTCTAGCTGACCATTCTTGAGAGAAATATCATATTCTTTCTCCTCTTTTCCTTTGTGCAGTGGCCTGACTTTATAAGATGGGACACTCCTATATTCATGAATATTAGACTCTGTCTGTGGGAAAAACACATTTAGGTAGGCTGGATACCAGCCATGTGCCCTTTCCAAGGACATAAATGACAGTAGTGCATGCAGAACAGCTCATGGAATCAGATGGGCCTCACACCTGGTGTTTTCTTTGTTCCTGTCAGCAATGTGCCACCCTCCCAGGTACAGACATACAGACTAGACTCACAGAGTCTCAGACAAAGTCAGGAGAATGGTATTGTGGTCTCAAAGTGAAAAGCCCATTGTTTATTGCAGTCACTGGACAGAGGGTACACTAGACACTGAAGCTAGTCCCATAGTCAAGAGTTCAATCAAGACTGAGGCAGCCCATCCTTCTGTTCTACTGCAACATGCTCCCAAAGTAGCTGCAAGAGAGCCCAGGAACTCAGGAGTGTGGGGGCTGGGACTGCTCTGTGCTCTGGGGTAAGGTCAAGGGGTCTGACCAGTGTTGGTTAAGTCTTCTGCACTGTGCTTCCTTCACTTCTTCCTATTAGGAAATGAGGCACACATACTAGGTTCCAGGTGCCACTCAGCTAAGAAGCCACATACCTTTGCTTTCTGTCCAATGACATGATGCTTGAGACATTTGGGATACCCATTATTATGTCTCTAACTGGGAAGCTAGACCATAGGTCATGTAGGAAGGGGTTATTTGGCACCAAGGCTATGGTTGTAACATAAAAATGTCAGCCTGTGTCACCAGCCTGCTTCTCACAGTCAAAGCAGGTGACTTTGGCAATCACACAGCATATGCATATAGTCATTTTCCTCTACTGGATCCTCTATTGGATCACTGCTACATACTTAATCAGTTACCAGTTCCCTCAAGTAACATGAGGCGGGCATCATTATTGGCAGTCATAGATGGTAGAGGTGTAGCTTAGAGAGATCTGATGATACCCAAGTCCTTACTGCAGATCTATGTCTGAATCAAATTTATCTTGAATTGTACCGGGGTAGAATATAAACATGGTTGGGATAGTCAAAGTGCCCAAAAGATTTATGGTTTAAGTTTCACATGAATGCTTGCGTACACACACACACACACACACACACACACACACACACACACACACACAATGTATATGGCCTCTATTCTCCCTGCCTTTCCCATGCCGGAAGCCACCACTTTAAACTCTTGTGACTCTTTGTTTTTACCTTTGCCTCTGTGTTTCTTAGTTACATGTAGATCCCATTGCTGCTTAGTTTGGCTTAGTTTGTCCATTTTAGAAGAAAACCCCTCCCTCCTAGCAAGAACTGGCTGACACACTGGCTAGCAGGGTCTTACCCAATCCTATTTGTCCTGCCCAACTGCTATTGTCTCTCCTGTAAGGCTGCGAATCCTCACTGGTTTTTACCCATTGTAGCATTTGTGTGTGTTTCTTCACTGCTGCCGAGCTCTCTAAAGCATGCATCATCATGTAGGCTTCTCGGTGGTCATCTGCTTACTCTTTCCTCTCATGTCCCCCACAACACTCACACTCCAGTAGTGGGCAAACAGTTGAAGACGGCACTGTGTTGACAGTGTGATTTTCCTGTTATCCCCAAGTCTGCCAATGTTTCTCTGGTTTGGAATATTTGGATTTTATGAGTCTTCATTGTTATGAGAGTTTAAGGAAGAATGAATACCCTAAGCCTCTTATGACAGCTAAACTGTTTCCTGAGCTAATTAATTCTCCAAGGAGAAATTTTATGCCAGAGAAAGTGATATTTTAAGACTCGCATCACATTGGCTAATTGCCCTCAAAATTCCTAGTTACATCCTTTTGGATGTGAATTAATTGGTTGGGTTTTTTTTTCATATCACATACTCATCATCCTAAAATAGTGTATCAGAAATAGTAAATTTATATAAAAAACATTCTTGGTATATAAATGTCAAATACAGTTGCACATGTACAAATCAAATCATAACATCGCTGGAAAAGGATTATAATGCTTGCTCTGTCTATGTTTAACTTTTGTGTTATTGAGACTTGACATAACACACACACACACACACACACACACACACACACACACACACTCACACGGTGAAAATAGTGGAGTATGGAGTACTGTCTCCTTCCATGGAGTCCATAGTCCCAGGAAGATGCATCCAAGGAAAAGTTGATGTTCCAGCAATTTTAAATGTGTCTTCACTGAGTCAGATTTAAAAGCAGAGCGCAGTCCATCTGTGCTGAGTTCCCTGTTGGAATGCAGAGTTTGGGATTAGCCCTTTGATGTGGACTAAAGGCAGGGTTCAATTCTACCTTCAGTGCTTTGGTTTACCACTGTTTGATTCTGATTCAGACAAGTGACTATTTTGCATAGTGCACGTGTAAGAGCCTCATTGTTCTGAACTTTGTGATCTGGGAAAAAAGGAAATATCAAGCATTTTCAAATCACTTGATCAGCACCAGGAAGACAGATGATAACATGGTTTATTTTCAAACAAGAAAACCGAGGATCTTATGGGTTACTAATCTAATTTAGGCCTGAGCTATGAGCCCATGCCATCTGGCTTGTCCTATAGTTAGAAGAGATTTGCTTTGATGCTGTTCCTGGAACAGGTTGACAGAGGTGACCCCTTGACTCTAGGTCCCTATAGTCTCATCTCTTGTCTTCCTTTCTCTGTTGTGTTTATTAGTTTTCTGTTAAATGTTGACACTCCGATCATGGACTGCCTGTGATAAATCTGGAAAATGGGGCTCACCTGAAACCCAGACCCCAAGTAAAGTCATAATGAGTAAAGATTGCATTTTTCCAATGGAGAAATCTATCCTTATAAAAGTATAAGGTGTCAGTATGAAGGAGTAGATACCATAGAAATGGGCAGGAGTCGGGTGAACCTGCGGGAAGACTGACAGTTGGGTACTTAGTATCTGGGGAATAAAGGGTAGTGGGAATGGCTGGGGATTGTCTACTGTTATCAATAGTAAAGGAGCCAGGAGTGCCTGCAGTAAATGGAAGGCATTTCCCTGTGGAGACACGCTCGGCCAGCTGATCTCTCTGGTCACAGTGACCACACAATAGGAGGGTGCCTTCTTCCCCTCTTCCTGTTATTAAAGGAACACCTGGGTTTTCATAAGTGATATTAAGTGGGGAAACCATATAGCACACCCGTGACGTGGTTCTCATTGAGAGAAGGTCACATATGAGAACCAAGTGTCTGAGACTGAGTGGTGGCCGCTGGCGCTGTATGACTGGCTGAAATTGAGCAGCGCTGAACTCTTTCTTCCCTTCAGGGACCATGGGGCTCATCAGAGCTTCAAAGGCGGCATTGTCTGTTCCGTTCCACAAAGAACAGATAATCGGGCCTGGAAGACTGTGGCTGCCTGGAAGTCTTGGCCTGACTGCTAAGCTGACTGCTAAACCACTTTCCTGTGGCTTTGACTTCTTGGGGAGGGGAGAGTGAGGTGGGTGTGGGTCAGCCTGGGTCACAGCGGTGAGATCGGGATATTGAAAAGTACGAAAGTACAAAGCTTTTGTCATTTGCCTCCAGCAGCCCGAGGAGTGTAGGGTGCACACCTCAGCCTCCCTGAGTTGCGGTGAGAACTCAGGGAAAGGTTGAGCAGCTAAAGGACTCCCCAGTTCTCATCACTAGAGCACTAGTGAAGACCCTGCACACTCCAAGCCCTCAGAGTAGACAAGTTCAGCCCTGCTATCTGCAGCTGCAATCTCTTAGCTGAAAAACAAAATGGCTTGTGAGTTTTTGGGCACTCAGAGGAACATCCAGCATGTGTCACCTCTTTCTAACTCTGAGGCAAAAATCCTGAAGGGTACTTTCTGCAGAGTTCACATGAGAAAGGTGAGGGTTCGGGCAAGAACCAGCTCAGATCTCTTGGCTGGCCAGGGTAGCTCTCTTTCTTCTGTGTTGACACAGCATGGTGGTGAACTTCTTTTGTGAGAATTTTAACCCTTGAAAATGCTCCAAACTCTGGAATGTAGCCTTTCCTCTGGAGCTGACCTGGAATGAGGAAGCTAGGGTAGTTTCAACTGGCTCTCTGCCTGTACATAATGAACATCTTCAAACGTATTCTGATCTAGTTTTTAAAAACACAGTCAACATTAGCAAGAAAAGACACAAAGAATGAGTAAATCAACCTAATTAGCATATTCATGACCTCATTCTCTTTTTAACAGTTTTTGAGGAGAATGTTTGAAATTTGCTCTCTTACACGAGGCGTGGGTGGCACATGCCTGTAATCCAAGTACCTGACAGGCTGAGGAAGAAAGATCGAGAGATTCTACGTCAGTCTAGACTACATAGTAAGAAGCTGCACCAAGAAATAACAGTACTGAGATGGATGCTATTGAGGATGGTGATAATGGGAATGATGGTGACAACAAGACATCCTTTTTTCTTTAACAATGGGAAGCTCCCCACACTGCAGAGTAGCTCCCCAGAACCTTCTTCTTCCACATTCTACACATGTGTCCTAATGTCACATGATCCTTCAACATACATGGCTGTAATTGCCAAGTAATAATAAAAAAGAGACTTTAGAAAGGCACATGAGTGCTTCTCATGCCTGGGTTGCCAGGTCTTGATGGCGGGCCTCTCAGGCCTACAGTCCTGGAGCAGCTCAGGCAGACCCAGCATGCTCTATCCTTCCTCCCGGTCTCTGCTCTCCCCTCTACCCTATCTCTTCAAGGACTCTGTGGTTTGTAGAGGGGCATACTGCTGTTTGATATCTTAGATGCAAATGTAGACTTCAATCTAAATGCTGACTGGCCTTGGGCAAGCCTGTCTTCATGTGTGGCAACAGCAGACTGGAACCCTGATTGGGGGTAAGGTTTCTGTCAAGCTGAGGTTGCCCGGTTGTAGTGAGGGCTGATCTGCTTGTCACCAGCTCATGGAGGAGGCTCCAGATCACACTGAGACAGAGACAAAAGAGCATAATTCTAGGCTGGCTCTGCCAGGCTCTGCCATGTGACCTGGATTGGAACCTCTGTAACCTTCAGATGCCCTGTGTCCTTTCCTCCCAGACCTTAGCCCCTCCCACTGTCAGGAGGATTGGTATAGATTAGAGAAATTCTATCAGCTTCATTTTGTTCCTGTTCCTATGACTTGTGTGGAGTAGGCAAGTATGGATGCCGAAGCCCAGACTGTAGGTTTGGGAGAGACTCATGCAGCTGCAAACCTCAGGGGACCCTCCCTGCCAGTCACAGACTGTCACATTCCTGAAGGATGCCTGGGGTGGAGCGCTGTAGTTAGATTTAGATTTGTAGCCAGTGGAGTCCATCCAAAGCATGAGAATGACCACAGCCAGCCAAGACTGGCAGCAAGGAGGCCCACCTAGAATCTCTGAGGGACATTCCCCAGGCAGGCTAGAAGGTAGATTGGAAAAAAAAGAAAAGAAAAAAAAGAAAAGAAAAGGAAAAAAAAAAAAGGAAGGGGCCTCATTTAAGGACTTACTAGCCTATTTTTTCAGGTTAACCCTTTTGCTACAAGGTATGGTATATGGGGACTAGAAGGAGGCTTGGGCTGGTCAGCTATCCATCACTGTGACAAAGGTACCTGAGGAAACCATCATGTAGGAGGAAGGGCTGGTTTCAGCTCGCTATTTCAGTCTATGATTGCTTGTTTCCTTTGTCTTCTGGCCTGAGGGGAGCTAGAGCAGGAACACAAAGGCATCTTCCCTTTATGACAATAGTGGCCATTTTTAAAATAGAGAAAAGAAATATGTTCTGCTTTTGGCAGCATCATGGATTAATTCATAACATCCAAACTACGAGATGAAGGTAGAATTTTAAGATCATTACATATGATAACCAAAGGAGCACGCTTGAAACTTACTTGACAGAGAGTTTTCAAATTTAATCTGAATAAACTAAATATTACTAAATATAACTAAAAGTATTTTTTTCAGGAATCAAAATAATGTACAAAGACTGCTACAAACAGATGGTAAAATGTGAAATAAGATGTCTTTTGTTAAAGTTGTGTGAGAATAAATTCATCATTCTACAAGCAATGTTTGACAAAGAAGTGGTACCCCCCACAACAGTGATTGATGCAAATGTGTGTGTATAGATATAGATATATGTATATATATACAAATATACATATATAGAAAGAGATGGATAGATAGTATATAGATATAGATAGGTAGGTAGGTGGGTAGGTAGATAGATAGATAGATAGATAGATAGATAGATAGATAGATAGATAGATAGATATGATGCTTGTGTATATAATGCAACTTTATGGGGAGGTTTATTTTTATCACAAATGACTCTAGTGTCATAATTATCATATATGTGCTTTTTAAAAAGAAAGAAAATAAACAAATGCAGAGGAATCAACAGGCATCATGAGATTCAGATGAACCTCTCCCCATTGGACAAGCCCCTAAAGGCTGCCATATCATCAACATGGAAAGGAGGTCACCTCTAGTAGACCCTGGATACAACCTGTGAAGATAAGGCTCCATCAAACCAGTACCACCCCCTGATTGGTTAAGATAGTATTGTTCATGTTGATGGGTTCAGAAAATGATGTATTATTGAACTCTTACATCTTGTACAAGTGATAGTGCAATGATGTTGTGAATTCCTGACTGATAGTAACTTGACATAAAAAACCCCCAGGATCTCCAGCCTTCCTGATTCAGCATGCTTCTGTGTCCTCAAAAGCTTTTTTCTCAGTGAGACTATAGGAAGTCTATGAGGTCTGGATGCTAGCATCCCTTAACAACAAAGGCTCATTCAGGAGACATCATGTAGGTTTGCGTGGGGATGGGTAGGGACATTGGCAGGGACTTGGCTTCAGACCTTAGGGAATGACACAAGAGCTGGCTCTCACTTGGAGATGAAATTTACTCTTTAATTACAGAGACAGTAGTCTAAACATGGGGTATGGTCAAAGTTTCCATCTTTGGACTATAATTGGCTGCTGTGGTCCTGAAACCCATTATCACTCCTCTCTGAAATTTCAGCTTCTTGCCATGTAAGAACATTTAAGAGTGACCACATCACAGAGATGTCATTTGAGTTGTCTGTGAAGACAGCAGCATGCAGAGCAGCCTTAAGAAATTGAGAGCCCAGAGGAGCCTGCCTGGCTAGAGCCAAGTACAGACAAACCGGAGTCCTGACTCCTCTGCCTCAAGGATGGTGTTAGGAAGCAGAGCATGGGAGAAGGCAGATTGGACAGTGGGCACTTCTTGTGGCATTAGTACTTTTCTAGGAGAGGTAGGAGAAAGCTTTCTTGTTCTCTGCTCTGCCATGTAAGGATATGTAATGTAGTAAGAGGCTGCTTGTTTGTTCCCGGCTGTTCAGCTCTGAAATAATCACACAGAACCCATATTATTTGCAATACTGTTTGGCCAATAGCTTAAGCATATTTCTGGCTAACTCATATATTAAATTAACCCATCTCCATTAATCTGTGTACCACCACAAGGCTGTGGTTTACTGGGTAAAATTCCGGTGTCTGTCTTCGACGGGGCTACGTGGCTTCTCACTGACTCTGCCTTCTTTCTCCCAGAATTCAGTTTAGTTTTCCCCGCCTAGCTCTATTCTGCTAAGCTTCTTTATTCATTAACCAATAAAAGCAACACATATCATGACCAAAAAAAAAAAAAAAAAACAGCCTTACTGATACCTACATCCCAAACTTTAAGAGCACAGAACTAGGAGAAGCTACTATTGCTATTTAAAGTGTTCAGTCTGCTGAATCCTATTACAAAGAGGTCCCAGTGAGGGCTGGGTGTGAGGTTGTCTCATAGCTTTATTTACCAGGCTAACTTTAGTGGCATCTCACCCACCAGCAGCGGTGTTAAAAATGGGTTGGAGATAGAAATTACAGGCTCCCCATATAACTTGTGGTACTGTGTTGACAAAGCAAAGACCCTCCCACACCTAGGAACTGTGTTCTGGAAAGGGACCTTGAGACCGTGACCTCAGAAGCTTTACTCCGATATGACTTTGACCACTGACCAACTTGTTCTTGATGAATTAGTTTTCCTTTATATCATGTTTGTGAGGATGCACTAGATCCCTACCCCTTGCCACACTTGGAGTACTGTAAGATCAAATCTGATAGAGCAGACATACATAAAGTGTGATACTTTAGATCATCAGTGTGCTTTGCCAGCCCAAGGTCCACACTCACAAGTATTTGTAAAGACAATAAACTGCTGTGATCTTCTGAAGCAAAGAAAGACACGGGGAGTGGGGAGAGATTCTCTCTACTAATCTTCAGAGCTGTCCCACTGGGATGGGCTTTTCTAGAGTCAGCGGTATTGGGTGCTCACACAGCGATACCAGGGTGGGGCAGCTTCTGGCCTCTTTAAAGTTATTTCTGGATTCTGACCTAAAGGTACAGTCCTTCCTCAGAGAGGCACCCTCATCCCAGTGCTCAGACTCATCACCGTTCTCTTATGGCCTACCTTTACTCACAGTCTTGGTGCCAATGAGAGAGACTTCAGCAGTCCTGTCAGTTCACACCCAAGACTTATGCTTGGCTGCTAGCTCTTCATCCCTGTTCCTTGTGCCAGATGCCATATGCAGAACTTGGGGGGCATTGGGAGACAACCATAGTCATACATAGGCTCTGTAGCTGTGAAGGAAGTCTCCGCACACTGGCCAGTCGTGTCATTGTCCCTGGGCCTCATTTTCTTCATTTTCTTTCTTCTTAAAAACAGATGCCATAACTGTGTCTTCCAGGACACAGACTGTGAGACGGACATTTGCATGAGGTGATCTTAAACACAGAGGGTGATTGGACGTGTTTGCACATGGAGTACTGTGTTGACAGAGGTTTCTGTCTCATCCCGGTCCTGCAGCCATTCAGCCCCAAAGAAACACACAGAGGTCTACATTCATTATAAACTGGTTGGCCTATTAGCTCAGGATTCTTATTAACTGATTCTTACAAGTTAAATTAGCCCATAATTCTTGTCTGTGTAAGCTACGTGGCTTGGTACCTTTTATCAGTGAGGCATTCTCATCTTGTTTTCTTTGAGACTGGCTGACAACTGCAGACTGAGCCTTTCCTCTTCCCAGAATTCTCCTGTTCTGGTCGCCCCACCTATACTTCCTGCCTGGCTACTGGCCAATCAGCATTTTATTAAATCAGCACAGCTGACGAACCTTTACAGGGTATAAGACTATTGTCCCACAGCAGTACTGTAGGGGTCAGGACCAGAAGAAGAAGAGG